GTAGAGGGATAATTAGTTTAATTAATTAGAATATTACTAGTTACGCAAGGAATGCCTGTGTGATTCGACGTATTGATGACTAATCTAAACAGAAAAACGTAACTTTAACCTGTGCTTATGATTACATTTGAAATCACACCGTTTTATATAAAAAAAAAAATATAGTATTCAGACTCGTTTTAATTTGAATTCCGATCGTTATATGTTATCTTCAAATATCATCCCGCCTAATATCGTTAAAATGGCTTTGCAAAAACACGAATTTTGAAAAAGAAAAGTGCTCTCGAGCTTTAGATTAAATTTGGTCACTTAGGCACAACGCAATAACGCATCATTGATCACTTAGGTACTGGTGGGCGAATATATGGTCCCTAATAACTGGTGTTCTATTCGTATATTTCTTATTTTCTTCGTTTGTTTTTATCACACACTTTTCATTTATTATATTTATTTACTCCGACGAATAGAAAAAAAACTAGTTAATTAAATACGAAAATATTCAATTATCCAACCTATCCTATTCAATTACTTTAGCCGTACCATAGAAAACCCTCGAGACTTGATTACTCCTACCTCCACTTCTACTTTTCATTTTAAAATTTGTCCTTGAAAACATTTAAATCGATAACGTCTTCATATATATATATATTCCCACTTCGTGAAATTAAAACAAAAATTAGCAATCGACATCTTTGTATATAAGTTTATTTAGAAATCAAAATCATCGATCTATAAATTTAGACGACTTTATATATAGTTTGCTTAATTTTCGCAAAAGAAATTTACCAACAATTTTTACGTACAATATATTTTTTTTTTTTAAATATTTGCGTTCTTTTTCAAAAAAATAATATATTTGAGTTGTCGGTAATGGAGCAAAAAGAAAACGAAAGGTCCAGGAGGCGACATTGAGATTTTTTTATTTTTATCTCGACCATCGAGATTAATTAATCAACTAAAAACGTTGAATAATTACGTGGTCATCATCAAAGAATGAACAGTGTCTCCCACTACCTCTTAACTATATAACTAATCAAATTTTTCCTTTTTCGGGTTTGGGTATATCTAACATGTATGTGCTTCTTGGTGGGATGGATTCTGCATGTCCAAACCGACAAGTTAAGTAAGAGTAAAGATTAGTAAGCACTATAACCAAAGTTTTAATCAATGTATAAATTAAGATTATGGATTAATGATGTTGCTGTGCCTTCAAACTATTAAGGTCTTGGTGGCTCTACCACCCACTCAAATCTTTTTAACGACCTGCT